CCCTGGCCAACCAAGCCTTCTACCCTCCGGGGATGGTAGATCGGTATCGGCATTCGTCTAGGAGGATAAAACACTGACTTGTACATCGGCTGGCCACCGCAAGTCATTGTATAGGCCACATCGCATTCAATAAGCCACTACGATTCTGAATGGAAGTAGAATGCGTGCCGCATCCCACAAAGGGATTGATTAACGGCGAAGACTTTATCCTTTTATCCTTTATACTTCTTTAACGCGCAACCTCCCGACTCGCGTCTTTTCCGAGGCTACCCTTCTTCTGATTCGCCCCATTAAACTTTATGCTTTTCCTTGGTGTGCATTCTACTATAATACTAGATTCTGATTATTCTAATCCAGTGTTGGATCTATGGTAAAACTCTCAGAGAATCAAATGTGCTCCAAGCGACTGAAAAACCATCACCTTCCTAAGAACTCATTAAGGGCGATGTACGCTGCAGAACATAGGCGCAAAAAAACAAGTAAATTTAAGCCTTTTTGGCGAGTGCATAACAAAAGTTCCAGTCATAAGACCTAACCTGATCTTACGCTGGCTCAACAGTGAAAATGTTGAACCGGGCAGCGATGGAAAGAAAATACGTGATCACACGCTTGTTGCAGATTATCTTTGCCTGAAGGCCATTCGATTTCCAGGCGAGAACGTCACATTTAGCAATCCAAGTGTTTGTACCAACATCAGGGTGAACACGCATCTGAAACTATAAACTAAACTAATGGAGTAATTAGGCCCTACGATTAGAACCTAATGGAAAAGAATTCCAGAGAATGCGCTCATTTTGTTCTACGTCTAGCATTTTATTGTTAGAGTGACGATTTAGGCTGCGTTCATGCTTTGCTACTGAAGGTTCCGAGGGCTGGAGATCGTTGAATAGAAGAATGAGCGGAAAAGCTTAGAACGTTTTGACTGACGCTCATATTCTCGAATTCTCCAGTTTTGGCGAGTCAAGGCCGATTCGATCTATCTTTTTTTGCGGCGCCTTCTTCGAAATCCGCAGATTCAATATAATACTTTCTATCCAGTTTCGCCAAAATGGGCGGCCTCAAGTAATGATAATAAATACACGCCCTCCTGGCACCGTAGCCTAAATTGCAAAGAAAAGAAAGATGAAATTCGTGAAAGAGTACGCTCTAGTAAAAATAAAGTCCTAGGTAAAACAATGATGGTTTGTTTTCGCCTCCTACTCACTGTGAAAAACCATTTGCTTCCTCAGCCTTTGCGGCACGACTGAGTTGATATTGACGAAGCAAGTACAGGGAGTATTCGAGGAGAAAAATAACCAACTAAGACATTCAGGTAGAATGCATAATGTTACAGTCAAAGAGCGCGCACACCAAAATACTAAGGATGCGTCTATACATTGGGTCAACTTTTCAAGCGTACGGCAGCTTCTGAGTGACTGGGAAAGTATGAGCATCCGATGGTGCGTGTACTTAGATACCCGGTGTGGCGTGGCCAAAATAGGGCGAGGGCTTGACGTGGACGGATATAATTAGGCTTCAGCGCTTCTTCCTGAGCTTGGAGACGATAATTTCCTTCTTATTAAACAGCTGTGTGTTTCTACTGCTTGAACTAAGAAGTTCCGAGAGGAAGAATTAACTTAGATTGGAATTTATGCTTTTTGCAAAGGTATACATTAGGCAGAGGCGAAAAAGTGGTTATCAGGTCTTACGTATGATCATGAAATCAACATTAAGCACACCTTGAAGACAATAGGAACGTTTACCTTGTAAACGGTGCTCCCGTCTAATATCTATTGCAGCACAAATTTGGGAAACACCGGTCCATTTCGAAGCCTTGCCCCTCCACCCCACACCGGGTATCTAAGTGACACGTTGCCGCAATTCGATCTAGTTGAGCGCGTTGCGTTCAAGACTTCAAAACGCTGCCGTTGGCTCCAAACGCTGACGCAATACTAGGGGTGCATTCAGAAGTATGAACGCAGCCTGAATTAGAAAGAAAATGAACTCCAGTGTAAAGAGAAGTTCCATTCATGATATACTCTGGTTCGCTGCGGATGAAGGGGAGTGTCAGGCAGTATGCCACGCCGCGGCCAAACCTTTCTCTGCCACTCGTTGAAGCGGATATACGACAATAATAGGACGGAAAACGGCTGATGTGAACGATATTATACAGCCTCGCCACTTGCTCCGCCTTAACAACACTGCAACGTCGCCCTCGACGGTGTAAGTATGAGATTGGGATCATCACACCCTACCCTCCCCCCCCCTTGTGACGCCTTTTCTACCACGATTCGAAAGTAACGCTACACCTCCTAGTCAGGACGAGCGATGTGCCGCACATTATCAGATAACCGAAGCAGCTCTTCACAACACAAGTGCCACTGAATTCCTAACTGGCTGAATAAACCTAAAAGGGACGGCCGTGAAAAAGATGGCTATAGAAGCAGAACCAGGTAAGCCGTTCAGCCCTTTCTGAAACGACATGATCTTGGCAGTTTTTCCTACCTTACAAGCATCTATATCCTGACGTCTTGTCAATCTTCCACCGAGGCAGTGTGGACGAGTAGGTTTTTATGTCCTGTTCTTCTGATGAAATGCCCACATCCATAACTTACCTTGTAAGCGCATTGTCTGCCAAGGTTGGAACAATGGGTTGGAGCAGGATAGATGATATACGGATGGTCTCATAAGTGATGTAAAGTACATTATCTAACTGAAAACAGAAGACTTATTGAAAGGAACCATTTTTGGAAGCAAGTTTTTTTTGAAACAGTGGGCGTTTTTTGCTTCACCTGTGACCCCTGCTTAAGTTTCCATGGTTCAGATATCTGGAAAAATCCGTTACAAGCTTTGATAATACGCATAAGTTCTTCGATAGCCTTGTAGAACAACATCTCATCGTAAAGTTCCGCTGTTACCTCTGAAATATTTGAGTGAAGAAATGGAAAAAATAGAGACGGTGAAATATCCTCACTCGCAATATCCGTCAGGTCACTCAGGAAGTGTACAGCAGCTTGTTCAGTATGTGCTGTTACATTATCTTCTTGGAAAACAGGATACAGCTGCGAGTAATTGAGCTTCCCAACTGTAGCTCGACTCAAAAGGTTTCCGAGATTATTCACCAAATCGCTATTCACCACATTAACAGCTTTCTCCGCGTTAAAATCTAAATGGATAACGTTACAGAAACTGGTGACAAGTTAAGAAAAAAAGAACTTTCTAGAATCTCCGTGAGGTAGGCCTTGTTTGAGGAGGAAATAACGCAAGCCATCAGCTGTATACACCTGTTCTGCTTCGAATGGGTCCACAACATTCCCGAGGCTTTTCGACATCTGAAATCAAGTTTGCTTGGAAATCAACATGAAATGAAACAAAGAATTTCATTGAAATAGACTCTGAAGATACAAAAGGGAGAGCGAGTCGCTATAGATTCATCTGGTGATTTTCCAAGTCTATGCGTATCTA